AGAGAGCTAAAACTCACGGTTTTTCTGGGGCAAAAGGACCGAAATTCTGCTTGAACATCAACCCCAAAGTAAGTGATGATCTACCCTTGAAAACTTGAAGATTGGAAGCTATCTTGCCTTGTTAAGTTCATGCATGCATTTGGTTAGCTTTTGTATGGTGTAAAAATGTGATTGTGGGCTCTTGGAATTCCCACACTTGGGTTGTTGTTGCTGATGTGATGATTGATGGTGATTATATTGTTGGTTTAGGGGTTATAATGATGCATTAGTGGTCGGTAATTAGTAGGAACTTCATTGGGTGTAAGAAGCAAAAACTTCCAATTTTGCCCCTGCCATGTTCGGCCATTTCCAGGCCAATTTTTAATGGTTTAATGGCTTGAATTGGATGTTTATAGGATGTATTAGATGTGTGAAAAATTTCATTGGAAAATATTGAGGTTTGATTGAGCAAATGAATTTTTCTTGAGAAACTAGCAATCTGGAAAACTGTTCGCGTATGATTCTGACCAGTGGTAGTATTTTGGCTATAACTCTGTCCTCGGATGTCGAAATCATGTGCCGTTGGTGGCGTTGGAAACTAGACATTCCTGGATTTAATTTGGTATATAATGCACGTTCTGATTCTTTGTGAACAAGCCGAACCAAATGTTTTAAGTTCGCTGTCCTGTTGCTCTGTTCATCTGGAATGAAGTGTACAGGCAGCAACTTGATGCCCGATTTTGAACCAGATTGATACCGAATTTGGAAATGATTTCTTCTGTGATATTTTACCCCTATGAACTTATTTTCCAACGGCGTAAGCCATGCTCAATTTCGAGCTATAATGACTGAGCTGTGACTGAAGCAAGTGGACTGCTCTGTTTTGGAAAACCCTAATCTTTGGACTGGTTTGGAACAAAATCTTGGAGTGAACTTGTTAGTTGATGTTTTTGATATTAAACACTTACCAAAGATATTATGGGTGTATCTTAGACCCTTATTTCACAAATGAACCATGGTTGGATAACTTTCTTGGTTAGACGATTGGAAATTGGGAAACGCAAGTCAAAGGCAGATTGCCTTAGGATTTTTCTTGAACTTTGGTGGGCTAATTAACTACCTTGCCGAAGGTATTTTTCCCCGAAATTCGATAGAGAGATACTTTCCATATAGTATTGAAATACTGCCAATTTTGGTGCCAATTCAAGTTCGTTTCGATACCCAATTGAATTACTAAAGTTAGAGGTTCAAATCTGGAAAATTCTCATCCAGTCTTGAATTTGCTCAACTTCGGGCTACCGCGTATCTCGGTGCTCGAAACTCCGATTCTTGATCCGCTTGTTTTGTCATACACCTCACTTGCAACCCTAATTGAGCTGCAAATTTCAGAGGCCGGTTTGCAACGTGTGAATCGTGCCGAATTTTCAAAGTTGGCCAAAATCCAACTTAATTCTGCCATGAAAACCGACCCTGCGTCTTCAAGCTCATTTTTGACCACTTTTCACTTCAATTCATGGAAAAGTGTCTTCTAGGAACTTATAGTACTCTCTCAGAGGGTTCCAACGGTATAAAGTTTTCCAATTCTCGACTTATACCGAGCGAGTTACGATTTTTCAAAAATTTAGGATAAAAACTGAAATTCTCACTTTTCAAGGCAAAGGAGTTTTTCCAAAACTCTTAATTCTCTTAGTATTATTCAAACGTTTTGCCCTCGATTTTCATGATAAAAACTCAAATAATATTGTACCTAATAAAAGGCAAGTTGAACCTCGATTTTACGTGTAATTGAGGTTCCTTTTTGCAAAATAATTCTTTAGATTGTACTAGTGTACAATCTTTCTTGATAAGTGGGTTAATTGTGTGATTATCCACTATTAAATTGCCAGGCGCGCAAGGAGACCTTCAAGAGGATCTCACCGTGGACACTTGAACTTCCGGAAAATAATTCTTATTGAATTGCTCGGTGAGTGTCAAGTGTGTGAATTTTGATACTTGCTTATTTGTGGGATTTGTTGAAAGTTTTAAAAATAAGGGCGGGTGCGTACTTTATCGCACTCGTTCTAATTTCAAATGAATGAATGAAATGTATTGAATGAATGAATGAAATGCAATGTTATGTCATGAATGCTTATGTCGTTGGAGTGAACCTCTCGACTTTCAAATGAATGGGGGACGCCCAAACTCATAGGCCGTCCTTAGACTCGAGCCAGCAATGGGCTTGGTCGGGGATTTGGACGACGTGAGATACACATAAGCTCGACCTAATAAGAGGTCTTGCTTGGCATACTCGTTGAGTATCGCCCAATAATGGTCATTGTGGGCCCTTGGGGTGTACGGTGGACGGAGGAAAGTAAGTGGTGATCTACGGAAATGGAAATACCGACCCGGTTGACAGGAGGGTCAATGCGGGAAGGTATACGAATGACAACGGCAGATCGAGTGGAACTTAGCTCCTGAGAGCTACTATATCCTTGAATTGTTTCTGATTACTTTTCCTGTTTGATTGATTGATTATTGAAAAGACATGGCTTTATTTATTAAATCTGGGATTGTTATTTGACTAAGTGCTTGCATGTGTGTTCTTGGCCTCACGAGCGTTAGCTCACCCTATAGTTTTGTTTTCCTTAACAGGACCGAATCTTGGAGAAATATGAAGGAACCATCCGTTGTACTTTTGTTAAGACTCCTGTTATATATTTTGACTAGGCCCTGGTTTGGGTTGTACTTTTGGAAATTGTAAACTTGAAAAGTTTGGGCCCTGATGTGTACTTTGAATTTAAGTCGTTTCATGATTACCCGATGTACTGGTGATACATTAAGTGACTTGTTAAGCTTGAACGCTTCCGCATTATTGTATTCGTGTTGCTCTCATAGAAGTGTTTAGTTCGATTTTAAATTGAATGGAATTGCTTGAGTCCTGGCGTGAGTTGGGCAGGCGTCCGCGGATACCCTTTGGTCCTCCTTAGGGAGATGTGGGGCGTCACAGAATCATATAAAGTAGTTGTAGTGGAATACAAATTTGATGTTTAGACTTTCCACCATGTTCTTCTTTTTCCTGAATTCTTTTGCCATTCATCATTTTTTTTCCATGTAATGAGTTTTTTTTTTTTTTTCAATAATAAAACGCTTTTCATTTCTTATCTCTTTTTTTTTTTAAAGAGAAAAGAACTCAAATGGAGCATTTTATTATGTTTTTTTTTTTTTTTAGAAAGAGGAAATTCCCTTTTTTTTTTTTTTTTTTACAAGGGATAAGGATTTGATTTGGAGTGGTGTAACTGAACTTAGAAGTTGCCCTCCAAACTGCCTACGTATCCCAACAAGGGAATCAAGTCACACGTAATTCCTGTCGTTCACATTTTAACCTCATGCGGGTCAGGAGTATCTATTTGTTTACCACCTTAGACTTGGTGGAGTGTTTCAGCAGTTTAACCACTTACTACACTATTGGTGGTCGCCATCCACAATTTTAGCTCATGCGGGCCAGGAGTCTTGCGCGGTTCCGATTACGCATAGTATCTTTTTAGGTACTTGCCATTGATGGGGCCAACCCTTAACCCGTTTTCAGCAACCAACTTGTATGAGCCATTTGTATACACTTCTCGAACAACATAGGGCCCATTCCACTTAGAAGTAAACTTTCTTTGTCCTCCATGAGTGAGAATGATTGGTCTCCGAACAGCGAGTACTAACTCCCCAATTTGGAAAGAGCGTGGCCGGACATGTTTATTAAATGCTTTTGAAAGGCGGGCTTGATAACACTCAATCCGTTGCTGGGCTTCCAATCTCTTCTCGTCGAGTGCTTCTAACTCCTCGAAGCGAAGACGGACATTATCTTCTTCACTGAGCCCTTTTTGAATCGCAATTCTTAGCGAAGGTATTTGACACTCAAGTGGAAGAACAGCTTCAACACCGTAAATAAGCGCGTATGGGGTCGCTTGCGTGGGAGTTCGAAAAGTAGTTCGGTATGCCCAAAGTATTTCTCCAATTCGAAGATGCCAATCCCTTCTCGATTTATTCACGACTTTCTTCAACAGATTACATAAGGTCTTGTTGAATGCTTCAGCGAGTCCATTTGCAGCAGCATAGTACATGGACGACTTGTATTGTTTGAAATGAAACTTTTCGCAAAGTTTGTTCATTGCTACATTGCAAAAAGGCTTACCATTATCGGTAATGATATAACGCGGGACTCCATACCGATAAATGATGTGCAAGCGAATGAAATCCACTACATTCTCCTTTTTGACCTCTCTTAGAGGAATCGCTTCAGCCCACTTTGAAAAGTAATCCGTCGTCGCCAAAATAAAAACATGTCCTCCAGAAGACTTTGGAAGTGGTCCAACTATATCCAAACCCCAAGCATCAAACGGCCAAGAGGCCACAGTTGGGTGCAATGGTTCAGGGGGCTGATGGATGAAATTGCCATGAAATTGACATGCTTGACATCTTCTAGCAAAGTCAATGCAATCCTTTACCATTGTTGGCCAGTAGTATCCCATTCTTTTAATACGAAAGTGTAATTTCGGGCCAGACTGGTGAGCATCGCATATCCCAGAGTGAGCCTCCTCCATTGCTTGCATGGCCTCATTTTCTCCAAGACATCGTAGAAACACCCCATCGAATGACCTTCGGTAAAGCGTCCCTTTGTAGTAAATGAAACGTGGTGCTCGACGACGTATATCAACCATTTTCTTAGGATCTTCTGGTAACTTTCCATGATTAAGATAATCAATAATGAGGTGACGCCAATCCTCCTTTTCGATCTCATGGACAAAAATATGATAAGTATTTTCTTCTTCACTATCATTACCTTCATCAAACATCGGGGGTATGACCCAATTTTGACATATTGAAATCTGATTTCGATGAGAAGGTAGAGTGATCATGGACGCCACCCTTGCCAAAGAATCAGTTTGTTGGTTGAAATTTCTAGGGATATGTTCTATAGTGGCATTACCTAAATATCCCATAAGTTGCCTTGCATACTTGTAATATGGGATCAATTCAGGTTTCTTGACATCCTAAACACCAAGGAGTTGATTTACCACCAATTTTGAATCACCGTAGACTCTAAGATGCAACTGCTTCATGTCTACGGCCGTTTCAAGACCGAGAATCAACGCCTGATATTCAGCCACATGGTTGGAACACCGGCGTGTTAAAGTGAAAGAGTATGGCAATATATCTGCTTCAGGAGTATAAAAGACAACTCCCGCACCAGCTCTATCACGGTGGGCAGCTCCATCGAAGTACATTGACCACGGCAATTCGACCATAAACACTTCTTCATCGGGAAGTTCATCAGTCAACTCCCACTCAGCAGGTAGGGGATGATCGGCTAAAAAGTCTGCCAATATTTGTCCTTTGACAGCCTTCGCAGGTACGTAAATAATTTCAAACTGTTGAAACTGGAGGTACCATCTCGCGAGCCGATCAGATAGTACAGGTTTTGCCATGACATATTTAATGGGATTGGACTTAGATTTGAGACGAATAGTATGTGCATGAAAATAATGCTTCAACTTCTGAATGACAAATATAAGTGCCAAACACAACTTCTCGATGGGTGCGTAGTTCAACTCATTAGGTGTCATCATCCGACTCAAGTAATACAGCGCATTCTCCTTACCTTCATCATTTTCTTGAGCAAGTAAGGCCCCAACCGACCGTTCTTGAGCGGAAATATAAAGAATCAATGGTTTTCCTGGGATGGGTGCAGCCAAAACTGGAGGATTCATGAGATACATTTTGATGTTTGTAAAGGCATTCCTACACGATTCATCCCACTCGAAGGGCACCCCTTTCTTCATCAGTCGACTGAAGGGTTGGCGTCGTCCGGCCAAATTAGAGATAAACCTGCGGATATAAGCCAACTTCCCTTGAAGACTTTTCAATTCATGAATATTTCGCGGTTCAGGCATGTTCACAATGGCATCAATTTTAGATCGATCGACTTCTATTCCTCGCTGATGAACGATGAAACCGAGAAACTTGCCAGAAGTGACTCCGAACGCACACTTCAAAGGATTCATCTTCAGTTGGTATCTCCGAAGGCGTTGAAAAACTTTTCGAAGGTCTTGAATATGATCTTCCCGCTTCTTTGATTTCACCACAAGATCATCGACATAGCACTCCACATTTTTATGGAGCATATCGTCAAAAATTCTTTGCATTGCCCTTTGATATGTTGCTCCAGCATTTTTCAAGCCAAACGGCATCACTCTGTAGCAGTAAATTCCCTTGGGGGTGCGGAAGGCAGTGAGCTCCTCATCCTCGGGCGCCATACGTATTTGATTGTAGCCAGACGATCCATCGAGAAAAGATAGCGCTTCATGTCCGGTCGTAGCATCTACCGTCAATTCCGTGATGGGGAGCGGAAAATCATCTTTGGGACAAGCCTCATTTAAGTCTCGAAAATCAACACAAATTCGGATTTGTCCATTCTTCTTCCTTACAGGGACGATGCTTGAAATCCATGTTGGATATTTTACTTCTCGTACGAATCCGGATTCAATCAATCGATTTATCTCATTTTCTATCAGAGGAATCAATTCAGGCCGAAAGCGCCTTTGCGTTTGCTTGACAGGTTTTGTTCCTCGCTTGACGGACAAATTATGAACGGCGACCCTTGGATCCAAACCAGGCATTTCTGAGTAATTCCAGGCAAAGACGTCCCTGAACTCGAGCAGCAAATCAACATACTCTTTTTCTTCTTCAGGAGTCATACAAGAGCTTATGTAAATTGGGCGAGGATCGTCGCTTGTGCCAAGGTTAATCTCTTTTAGCTCATCGACCGTATTTTTTACCCCTTGTTCAAGTTCAGCGGGAGCGTCATCTGCATCTTCTTCTTCTTCTTCAAGATCACTGATCGTAATATGGTGACAGGAAGCCGTACTTTCTTGACCCTGTTCTTCAAAAATGGTTTCAATTCTTACATTGAATAAGTCTCCATAGTGCATGAAGAAATTGGAGACTCGCTTTCTTGGTCTGTTCTTCTTTATTGGAGTAAGACTTTCTTCCCTGGCAACTTGGTACTCTTGTTTCTTACTGCCTAATCTCTCATAGACGGGCGACTTCAGATTTTTCGGCTGCGGGCCAAGTCTGTCAAACACAGAAGTACCTTTTGACTTATTTCCCAATCGGTCGAACACAGATCTCTTTCGGCTTGTGACCTCCATTTCTTCGTTCACATAGTTACAACTCGCTCTTTTGATCATTATACGAACAGGAGAGGGCGGTTGATAACCAAGACCCATCGATGAACTTTCAACATTATAGCCCCTTTCTTTCAACATTTTCTGCGTAGGTGTCAATCCGTGAGTCCTCTCGCCAGTCACTTCAGGAGGGAGTTTGCCCAATGTATTCTTCTTATTTGGGTTATAACCCGCCTTAGCAAGAAGTCTATAGGCGTTTGGATCAAAACCTTCTTGAGTCCGATTAGTTGGTAGCGAATAATGTTCCACTGCCGGTTCTTCTTTGGGACGAACAAACCCTTGCAAGCTCACCTTCTCAATTTTAACAGGCTCTATCTTGGTGAGCGGAACATTTAATGTGTCATTTCTGATAAAAGAAGACTGACCTTCTTCTCTCTTTGATCTTGGAGTATACCGCAAAATGGATACTTTGGAATCTTGACTCTCTTCCCTTACCGATTCCTTTCTTTTTGCTTCTTTGTGAAGATAAAATTTGGCATCGGCAAAGTGAGTTTCGGCTTCCGTGAAAGGTTTGTCATCGGCAGTAACTTTCTTAACAATACCGTCTCGACAATATTTGAAACATTGATGCAGAGTAGATGGTATAATTTCATTCTCGTGAATCCAGGGCCTTCCCAAAAGCATGTTATAAGAGGTTTTGGCTTCAATTATATGAAATAACGCGCTTGAAAACAACTCGCCAATGAGCAATTCAAGCCTTATGAGGCCAATTGCTCTTTGCCCCCCTTGATTAAATCCTTAGATCATGAGGCGGCTTTGGGAGAGTTCATCACTTGAAATTCCTAACTCTTTCATAGCACGTACGGACATGATATTGACAGCAAATCCCCCATCAATGAGTACCCGACTCATCTTTTGTTCTCGAACATATGCACTAACAAACAAAGGTCGATTGTGGGTCTTGAACTCAACAGTTAAATCATCATCATCAAAAATGATGGTCGTTGCACAACCCACCGGTGGTTTATCATCGACTTTGAGTTTTTTCTCAAATTCAGTGCCAATTTGTGTGACTTGAGGATTTTCAACTTTGACGACATTACAAGAAGTGAAATCATCGGTATCGTCACTTAAATACCCCTTGGGTATAAATTCTCTCAGTGTCACGGGCTGCCGAACCTCTTGAAGGCGCTGAAAATCTGAAGGAATTGGTTTTATGGCCACTCTCTTTTGTTTCTTTGTTGCATTTTGTCATTTCATCGTTACTTTTGGCTTTGTCGAATGGATGCTTTTTGAAAAGATGTACTTCTTTATTCTTGGCTTGCAAGTTCTCTTTCGAGTGACTAAAGTCCATCCTTCATTATCATCTTCGACAACATCTTCAATTGACGATTTTTCAAACTCCGTTTGTACAGACAGAGCACTGCTTGATGTGGGTAGGACTTCTATCGGGCAACACACAGATCCAAACATTATTGTTGTTTGGTTTGCCGATGCTTTATCCTCCTCAAGAAGGATTTTTCCTTGGCGGGCTAATTCCATAATTTTGTCCTTAAAGACAAAGCATTTAGTGAGAGGGTGACCAATCAAGCGGTGATAACAGCAATAATTCGGATCATTGACTTGACCAGCTTCCTCCGGACGCTTTATGTTGGGAAGTTCAAGGAGCTTCTCCTTGAAAAGATCATCAAACATTCCTTGTAAGTCGGACTCAAGGAAAGGGTACTCCCTTTCTTGCATCTCTTTTAAAGTGGGTCTTCTTACTGATCTATTCTGGGAGGAATCTAATTTCTCAGTGATTTTTCGACTTACTTTGGTAGCAATTTTCATGGGAGCTGTGTTTATTGCCATGGACTCCTTATTATTGAATCTTGAAGGAGGCTTGCCCCCTTTTCTATTTTCTTGTCTTTCATTGTTTTGCCGAGATGGCTGTACTCGCGGAATTTGAATAGGAAGCCCATCAGTTGCATTGGCCGTGATGCTTAACTCCATGTCATGAGCACGAGTAGCTAATTCTTCAAATGTGTTTGGGCGTCTGCAAAATGTAACTTAGGCTCCAATGCATTCCTCGAATGCACATTTCTATGGCAGAGGGTTCAGACAACCTGTCCTTGCAGTTGAGACTCAGACTTCTCCACCTATCAATGTAGTTGACCACAGGTTCATCCTTCCATTGACGAGTGTTAGTCAACTCTAGCATACTGACGGTTCTTCTAGTGCTGTAGAAGCGATTCAAGAACTCTTGTTCCAACTGTTCCCAACTGTCGATGGACCCCGGAGTGAGATCAGTGTACCAATCAAACGCGTTGCCCTTCAAGGATCGGACGAACTGTTTGACTAGCAGGTCACCATAGGTTCCAGCGTTATTGCAGGTTTCGACAAAATGGGCCACATGTTGTTTTGGACTGCCTTTCCCATCGAACTGTTGAAACTTAGGCGGTTGATATCCAGCAGGCATTGCTAGATTGTCAATTCTAGCAGTGTAAGGTTTGGAGTAGGTAAAACTCGATCTTGAACTACCCCCATTTTTGTCCTTGATCACGCCTTCAACAAGTTCCTTCAACTGTTCTACGGGGATAGTTCCCTCGGCGGTCACGTGTACTTCCTTCACCTTGTCTTTACCTTTAGATGAGAGATTTTCACGCTCTTGGTTCTCCTTAGAATTCATATGGCTTCCCTCAGGAGCGTGGTCCTTTTGGGTGAGCAGTTGAGCGATAAGAGCATCTTGGTCCTTGATGTGTTTCATCATGGTTTCCATCATCTTGGACATGTTCGAAACTTGTTCTTCGAGACTCAAAGTATTTGTCATCATGGCAGGCATTGCAGCAGAAGAAGCAGCAGAATCTTCAATACAAAATCTTGAATGAAGAGTTTCATGTGAAGAGGCTGATCCAGTGCTTGAGGACTCGTCGTCATCCTTAGAGAACTTGGGTTCGGATCCAAGTTCGAGCATGGCCAGAGCCTTCTCAATCGAGGTGAAAACGTCTTGGACCCCCATCGTGGAGGAATAGCTCATTTGTGATGTTGACTCGAATACGGGAGTTGGCGCCGAGGTTCCATGCTACTTTGGGTGGAGGCCCTCGTCATACTCCTTGTCACGGGGCCAATAACGCGGGTATTGGTAGCGACATGTGCAGCTTCCTGAACAGGCTTAGCATCAATAGCCTTGGAACGTGCAATCATGATTTTGTCGCTCTTTGGTGCCATTGGTGATATACGTAGTCGAATTTTCGAGGAGAAGAGATGGAAGGCAGAGATGGTCCTACCGGGCGTGCCAAAAATTTGTACGCGATAAAAATTTCAAGTCTGCAAAACGACAAGAAAAAGAAATACACGACAAATATGTACTATATAAACTTAGAAAAATATGTAGGTACAATCTCTGGAAGTTTCTCGAACTTATGGAGAGTTTCCTTCGATTCTTCTCCTCGAACACCAATCCAAGGGTTTCGCAGCTTGTTCTTGGATCAACCACCGACTCCTTCAAATCTTGATATGGAAGATTTGAAGGATTTGAAAATATTTGAAGGCTCAAGCCTTGATATGCGGAAGACTTGAGGAGCTTTGAGACCCAGACCTTCGTAGTTTGAAGCTTCAATACTTGAGTGTATGAGATGCTTCTTGATATCTCTGTGTATCTCTGTGTGTGTCCTTGATTTGGTTAAGAGACCTCTATTTATAGTTGTAGCAAGAGGTAGAGGTTGAGAACCTGTGTACCACTCCACTTGTCTTGCAAGACGTGCAGTCATATTAGGACTGTACCAGTCAAATATTATCTCTTCATTTTATATTTATTAATAAAGAGATAAGAAATTTATCGATTGGCCAAACTCGTGGGGACACGTGACATAGCGCCGTTTGACTGGCCAAGCTATTGCAGTATATAAGAGATATACTTGGATTAAATAACTCTAAATATTATCCCCTTAATATGAAATAAATATTTAGATATTTACCCAATGGACATGTGACATGATATGATCTGGTTGGTGGAGATATCCCTGCAATTTGAATTGATTTGGAACACCTCGCCTTGACACGTGGCAAAATATAATTGGCTATTTAATAACCAATTTTTCCAAGTGTACATGCCATATGGCAATGTCTAATTGGACAAAAATATTTTATAGACCAATGGCAATTTTTAGAATTTTCATTAAAATTCCATTGTCTACATATATTATAAGCAATTCTCTTTTGGTTTAATATCGTTTTATTAGTTTTGTGTTTCGAGTCCTGGCGCGAGCTAGGCAGGCTATCGTCGATACCCTTGGGTTCGCCCTTGGGAGAGGTGGGGTCGTCACAGTTGGTATCAGAGCGCCTAGGTTAGAGGACTTGGGCAATTGTGGGACATACGTGATAGGTTCATTAGGATTACGTGATTCTCTTTAAATTGAATGATATATTTTAAGCTGAAATGTCGGTTAACTAACGAATTAATATTTGTAGGTATGGATCTGGGCAGTTTTAGTGGCGTGGGACCGGGACCGAGACCTCCGAGTGGGAGGGGCCCGGATGACCGGGTGCTGTGTAGCGGGCGATCCGCTATCGGAGGAGGCTTGGGGAGCCCTACACTTTGTATTCTCCCTTCGGCCAGGTGTCGCGCCGACCCTGTGCGTGCTGGTATACCTATAGCTATCCTGACGAGGTTGTCTTAGCGATGGATGACGAGCGTTATCACCTAGACCAGACGGTCGAGACTTTGAGGGCGCAGCTGGAGGAGGCTAGAGAGTTTAGCCGCTGGCAGGCGTTGCGCGTTAAGGACCTGGAGCGGGATCTCCGAGACACACACCAGCACCTCTTCGCTATGAAGAGGCAGCTCAGGGAGACGGCCCGGAGTATCACGTTTGATTGTGGGGTCTTACTAGACATGGCCGCGGAGGCACCCCCACGAGCTACCGGGCCAGAGCAGATAGGTGAGATAGGTACTTTAGGTTCCGTAGGGAACCGGGGCCCTAGGGGAGGCGTTTAGGGTCGCTTTCGTATTTTGATTAGCTGGCAGATTACTTTTGTTAGAACTGGCCTAGCTAATTTCTTTTGTTATCTGGTTGGCTGACTAGATTTTTGGAGCCGGAGTGCTCGTGTGTATATTGGGTTTTGACCTGACTGGAGGTCGGGTAATTTGTATATCTTTTGGTGTGACTTTGTAAATAAATGTATATATTCGAGTATTATCTTTTGCACCTATCCTTTGCGTGCCTTTCGTGTATCTGTTTTGTGTTTTTTTTTGTTTCTAGTTTGAATACTAAGTACACGTTATGCTTGGATCCATAGACTTTTGGCATTTAAATGGCCTCCGGTACTCGAGGTAGAGGTAGAGGGCGAGGACGAAGCCCTGAAATGGAACATGAACAAGAGCCAGACCAAGTAGCTACAGCCATCCAGCGAATGGCTGACTTGATGGAACGTATGGTTGACCAACAGGGTCAGGGCCATGGGAATGCTGCTGGAAACCCGGGAAATAATCCGGGCAATCACGAGAGAGAGGACCGTGCTTTAGAACGGTTCCAAAAATTCGCACCCACCAAGTTTGTAGGTGGATCTAACCCTGATCTAGCAGAAAACTGGATGGACCGTATGCTAGATATATTTGCCACACTTAGGTATTCGGAGGAGCGGCAGATATCTTTTGCTGTTTTCCAGTTTGAGGGGGCCGCTCGAGCCTGGTGGAATGTGATCAGAGC